TTGACATATTCCATGTCCCTCTTTTAGGAGAGGTATCTCTTCTTAAGAGTAACTCAATCGCCTATCAGAAACAGGTGTTGGAGGTTAAGAAGTCACTTTTTGGAAAGTTAGATCATGAAGAGAAACTTCTCAATTTATAGTTAAAAAAAATCAAAAAAACAAGTTTGTCACATTCATATGAGATAAGATGTACTGTAGCCATCTTCCATTTCAAAAAAGACGGAACTTACAAAGCTCCAAAATAAGTCTCTTGAAATTGGGATCATTAAAATTTAGGTTATTTCCCTATATCTAACTTCATAACACACTTCTTTGACCACTGGCTATTTGAGACATTCAGGATTCTAACCTACAGAACTGTTCCCACCTAATTTGCTCTAGCAACAAGGCTGTGATAACAAAGACAGCAAAATGTTTAAACAGCAGGATTTTAAATCAAGTCCCACCGCTGCAGCACTCATTTCTCAGTGAACTTCAATTCTAGCCCACCATGCTTTGCTAGGTTTCCAATGTCCAAAGCTGGCACGGCACTTCACTTGCAAACATAGCAAACACAAAGCTGCCCCTCTGTAACCCTCAACTGCCCAGAACCTGCTGAAGAAAATCATTCTTTTACCACCTTTGATAAAGTTCTTCAATATTGGTGGAGAAGCTAACAAAAATAGTCAACAATGCTTAAGTTTTAAGTGGCACATTATTTCCTAGGCAAGAATTTATTAATCATAGAAGATCTGAAAAAACTTCTAACAAACTGTCAAAGACTAGCCACTGTAACACAACTTAATCCCGCCCATCACACCATTTTAGGAAGAAAAATTAGTTTAAACCAATAACTTTCTCCCAGGGGCGGTTTTGTTCCCCTCCCCCAGGACATTTGACAACAATGGTTATTTCTGACTGTTATGACAGGATGGGAGGAGGCTGCTGTCACCCAGCAGAGTCCAGGAATGTTGCTAAGAATCCTACACTTCACAGGACAATCCCCAACAACAAAAAAATTATCAGGCCCCAAATGTTAACAGTGCGCAGGCTGAGAAATCCTGCTTTAAACTAAACCTCTGCATTCGATGTTCATTACTAGGTTTCACCAAATGAAAATTTATATCTCAGAAATAACTCAAATCTAGAAATTCTCTAATAACTTCTTGGCCATTTCTTCCTACAACCAAAAAATGTGAGTAGATCATGACCTGCTAAAGTAGTATTCAAAAACAGGTACCTTAAGACACCATGTACAAGTTACTGATCCAGAACTAAGGCGTGGGCAGTTCTGGTAAGTCATACTCCCTGAATTAAAAAAAAAAAAAAAAAGTCCTGAGTGTAGCAGAAAACTTCAGTCCACAAAATTTGGTAAATTTGGACTTGCTGCAATATTGGTCAAAGTTTAGGATTGTTCCTATACTAACAAACTGCAGAAGACTCCTCCAACCTAGATGGAGAGAAAAGTGCCCCTAGAGGCAGCTTCCATACCAGTTAGAAAAAAAAATTTTTTTTTAGCTGCAAACCAGAGCAGCTACATTTAAGTCTATAGACTGGGTCTCAGAAAGACAGACTCCATCCACCAAAGCCAATGTAACCAACTAAAGTTAAGTTAAAGGCCAAGTTGTTAGAATCAAGGAAGAAGAACCCCTAGTTAAAAATAGCACTACTTGGGCCGGCCTGTGGCTCACTTGGTAGAGTGCGGTGCTGATAACACCAAGGCCACGGGTTCGGATCCTATATAGGGATGGCCGGTTTGCTCACTGGCTGAGCTTGGTGCTGACAACACCAAGCCAAGGGTTGAGATCCCCTTACCGGTCATCTTTTAAAAAATGAAATAAGAGATTTCATAGTGAATACTAAATGGCAGATACAAAGTCTTTAATAAAGTGCTTAGTACATAGTAGGCACTCAGTAGATTTTAGATATTATAATTATTAGAAGAAGAATTCTGGACAAGATGGTGGAATAGACGGTCCCCAGCATCACTCTCTCACAAAAATCAACCAATTTACAACTATAAAAATGTAACAACAGCCACTCTGGGGCTACTGGAGCTCACGGGAAGAGGAGGAGAGACCTATGGAGTTCATGAGGGGGAGAAACCATGATGAAAGAAAGAAAAACTTCTCAGAGTGTTTTGTATGGCTTCCGCTTTAAGGCTGGAACTGCTGAGAGTATGGAGCGGGAGCCAGCGGGCTTCAGTCCATTCACGATCATAAAGCAATCTAAAGCTTTTCAGAATCCAAGACAAGTCCCGGGAGGCAGTAAAGACTCCAATATCCACAAACAATGCCATTACAGATTAATCTGCCATAGGTTTACTAGACTAATGGGAACGTGACTCAACTCCAGAAAGACCCCCAAGAAACACAAATTGTGATTGGGCACCTAAATATGGTGCCCAGCTACTTTTGGCAAACAGATGGCCTGGAGAACCTAGAAAGTTCAAGGTGACTGGAGGCAAAGGTAGCTTATTAACCATGCAACTCTTCCCCTGAACTCTGCTTTCTCAGGAAGGAGACAAATCCCAATACCTTTGGCTAAAGGATGTTACAAAATGGAAGTGTCAGCCACCAGACACAGCTTAATACTCCCTTTTGATTTTGCTGAAGTAGCCAAAAATAGTATTGTATTAGCATTCAAAACCTTCAAGAATCAATTAAGTTCCCTACTTTATTAATGGGTCTTAACCCCACTGCTCATGAAAACTCCAAACCATAGCCAAAAATCAGAACATTTAAACACTTTAAGTAAAAATATAAAATATTTCATCTGACTAGCAAAAGTGTATTATGGAAGAAGAGTTTGCCCAAAATTTGACCTCTAGTTACTATTTCACACTTGCTCCAAACTCCCTTTTGGTTAACCATGAAACCACCTAGAACCATCTAGACCTGATCCACCACAGCACACTACTAGTATTGGCAAAGATCAGGAAGCAGGATGAAGCCATGTGTTAGGGCAATATTTCACTTAGTTTTGTTACCTCCTTATTTCTGTAATCTAAAAAATTCAGAAGGAAAATAATGCCATATAATTCTCCTCACTACTGATAGGGACATAGTTCCTGCAGCCACTAAAACCAGGAGGCAGGAAACAGCTTAAATAACCCACCCCCAATTATGCAGACCAGGGTGGTGGAACAAGTTATTTTAAAAAGCAATTGCAGGGCCGGCCCGTGGCTCACTCGGGAGAGTGTGGTGCTGATAACACCAAGGCCCCGGGTTCGGATCCCATATAGGGATGGCCGGTTCGCTCACTGGCTGGGCGTGGTGCTGACAACACCAAGTCAAGGGTTAAGATCCCCTTACCGGTCATCTTTTTTAAAAAAATAAAAATAAAAATAAAAAAATAAAAAGCAATTGCAATATACTGTACTAACAAATAAGGAAGTAGGTTGAAGCAATCAGGTCCTCTTAAATAGCTAACTCTGGACCAAGAAAGCTGGAGGGTACCAGTATACAAGAAAAAGACAAATTGCTATCAAAATTCCTATCCAGTACCTAAACCTTAGGGGAAAAACTACCTTTAGAATGTTCTAGAAAAGAATCGTGGTCTCAAGTACCACTTTGTTTTAGTAAAAAAGAACTTTCAACTTTCAAAGAAATAAAACACCCCAACCAAGACTCTTCATGCACAAAGTTCTATTTCAATAATACAACAATGATACCCTTGTCTGAACAATCCAGCCGCTTTGAAACGTTGGTATTATCTTACTAGATGAAAGCTTCTCTGCTCAAAGGTGCCTTGTCTAAAGAGCTGTTTGTTTTTAAGATGGCTCCAAGTTACTTAAAACTTGAAAGAGCCTTGTATTTTTAGATTTACACTAATCTGCCGGAAAAACTTTTATATTGATGATTCTGCATATAAGGTTGTGGCTCACAACCTGTAAGTATCGCAAAAGGAGCAAGACTAAACTATAAAGGACCAATGAAAAGAATGAAGGTTTGTCTCTGAATCTTTAATTTTACTTTATAGCAACTTCAGTTTATCGCACTAATAATCTTTTAGGCCTCACGCTACATGCCGCCTGGAGATATTTTACATACATACACAACATTTAAAAATAAAAACCAATGGGCCGAGCCAGTGGCGCACTCGGGAGCTCGGGAGAGTGCGGCGCTGGGAGTGCAGCAGTGCTCCCGCCGCGGGTTCGGATCCTATATAGGGATGACCGGTGCGCTCACAGCCGTCACTGGCTGAGCGCGGTGCGGCCGGTCTCAAAAAGGACAAAAAAAAAAAAAAAGTACAAAAAATAAAAACCAATGGGCCGAGCCAGTGGCGCACTCGGGAGCTCGGGGGAGTGCGGCGCTGGGAGTGCAGCAGTGCCCCCGCCGCGGGTTCGGATCCTATATAGGGATGACCGGTGCGCTCACAGCCGTCACTGGCTGAGCGCGGTGCGGCCGGTCTCAAAAAGGACAAAAAAAAAAAAAAAAAAAGTACAAAAAATAAAAACCAAGCCCAGCAAGTATTTGAATACCTACTAAAAATTGCACAACTCCCACAACGACGCATTCAGCATTTATAAAGCTGTAAGGAACATACTTCAGAAACTTGATTTGGTGGAATGTCCCTAGAGGTTTGGGCCGAAAGACCGTTTTCTCAGAAGGGGGAGGGGCGCTTTGGAGGCGACCACGCTAACGTCCGTAGCTGCACCCTCACTCCCAGTCACCACGAAGCCAGGAGGATTTTAAGAATTTTTAATACAAGGACACATTCTGGGGTCTCCGGTGATTAGCCCCAGAAACTGGCCGAGCGTCCACTCAGTACGTGACACCAGGGGAAGCCCACTGAGTAACGTCCCGCGTCTCTGGTTCTCTCCTCGGTAGGAGAGTCGGAGGGTCCACAGGGGCCGCCTTCAGAGGCGAAGCAGCGCGGGCGCTCGGGTCTCCTGTGTGCTTCCCGCGTTGCGGAGGACCACGAGCAGTCAGGACCCCGGGGGAGGGTGGGCAAGAACTGCGGAGGTCCGGGAGGTCGGCGGGGCCCGTCCCTGAGCTTGAGGCAGGGGGGGACCTCACCTTGCTGCGGTCCTCCTCCTGCTGCTGCAGTAACTCGGGAACCGCGGCCATGGCGACGCGGGCCTCGAGCAGAGGCCGCCTGGCTGTGCGAGGAAAGAAGAGGATGGGCCGCCGCCGGGGCACCTCTCAGGGGCGGCCGCGGCCCCGCCTCTGTTGGCCTCCCTACCCGACGGCGGCGGCGGGAGGCCTCGAGACTCCGCCACCACCCCAGCAGCCCCGGGAGCAGGCGAGCGGCGCGCCACGTGCTCCCCCAGAGCGGCCTCC